GCTCGCCTGACTGAGGAGCTGAATCTTTAATTGCATTTCATTTTAATAGACTTAAAATCTGATACTCATTTCAGTGTTTGGCAAACTTTTTTTTTTTAATCCTTACTTGAAGATTTTTTTTTTTAATCCTCACCTGAGGATTTTCAGAGAGAGTGCGGGGGAGGGGAGAGAGAGAGAGAAACATGGATGTGAGAGGGACACATCGACTGGTTGCCTCCTGCACCACCCTGACCAGGGCCGGGCACCGAGCCGAAACTGAGGCCTGTGCCCTTGACTGGAATCGAACTGGAGACTCTTTGGCCCACGGGGCAACGCTCTAACTGCTGAGCCAAATCGGCCAGGGCTGACACATTTTAAGTATATTTGAAACCACTTAGGTATGCCAGTCTACTTTTCGAACGGTGAATTTTATGGCACCTGAATACAGATCAAATGTCTCTGATGAGAATCTAGTGTTCAGGCTGACATGTGCCGTGAGTGTGAAATACACGGTGGATTTTGGAGACTTGAACCTGAAAAGTGTAATGTAAACTATCTCATCAATAAGTTTCCAGGCTGGACCGGCTGGTGTGGCTCAGTGGTTGAGCATCATCCCATGCACCCAGAGGTTGCCTGATTCAGTTCTAAGTCAGAGGGCATGCAGGGGGAGCGCAGGGGGCAGCCGGTTCATGGTGTTGCTCTCGCATTGATGTTTCTTTAAAAAAAAAAATTTTTTTCTTTATTGATTTTAGAGAGGAAGGGAGAGAGAGAGAGAGAGATAGAAACATTGATGAGAGAGAACATCGATTGGCCACCTCCTGCATGTCCCCCACTGGGGACTGGGCCCACAACCTGGGCATGTGCCCTGGCCGGGAATTGAACTGGCGACCTCTTGGTGCAGGGTCAATGCTCAGCCACTGAGCCACACCGGCTGGGCTCTTAACGATTTTTCTATCCCTCTCTCTCTCTCCCTTCCTCTCTCTCTAAAATCAATAAAAAACATATTAAAAAATTAAGTTTTCAGTCCGATTGCATGTTGAAACGATTATATTTCAGATATATCGGATTAAGTAAAACGTGTTATTAGGATGCCTTGCACTTACAATCAGTGGTTACCATGAGTTTTTGTTCAGCTGCAAACAGGAATGAAGCACGTACCGCTGTTCTACCCCGTGAATGAGCCTGGACGTTGTTCTGAGCGACAGGAGCCAGACACACGGCCACACAGCATAGGATTCCGTTTATGGAAATGTCCAGAACAGGCGGATCCATGGAAGCAGAAAGACCACCGGGTGGGCAGGGTGTGGAGGGTGACAGCGCGTGGGTATTGATACGTTTTGGGGTGATGGGAACGTTCCGGGATTCGGATCACTTTCCCCCCCGGAAGGTCCCGCAGAGGGGTGGGTGGGCTGTGAACCTGTTCTCCCAGCTTCTGCGTTCGGATGCCTGGTGTGCGGCCTTTTGCGAGCTCCGAGCCCTCAGGCCAGCCACCCAGCCCTCAGAAAGGGGAGCGGCCGTTCTAGTGAGACTGCCGTGGGCGGACGACCCGCCTGAGTGTGATGTGCGCCATGCAGCGCAAGTCGTATGTAGTGCGATGTTGGACACTCGCAGCTGACGTGCAGATATGCTCCAAACCTTGTTGAAACCCGCTACAAATCCATAAGTAGACCATAGAGCCAGCTCTAGGGAAGAACACAGGATTTTACACCCGGTCCTGGTGCTTTGTTGGCTTTGCGCTGGTGTTTCATCCACAACTCTTTTCTGACCACCCACCTCGGGCCGAGCCCAGTCTGCAGATGGGACAGGACGGAGATGCTCCCTGCTGCCACCCAGCTGGTCTACAGGGATGAGACTGAGCAAACCAGCCCACAGGCATGCTGGGGGAATGAGGAGGGTGTGGGGGAGGGTCCGGGAGGAAGCGAGGGGTGAGCCACCCACGCCCTCTGCTGGGAGGGCAAGTGCAAAGGCTTTAGGGTGAGGCATGCTGGCCCTGGCTGCAGCGCTGCAGGAGAGGAGGTCATCCAGGGAGGACTTTTGGGGACGGGACGGACTTAGATTTTACCTCTGGTGAGGGATCCCCTGTGGGCAGGACAGACTGGGTCCTGGCTGGCTGCTGAGGACGGTCCAAGGGGTGAGAGTGGTGCAGGGGGAGGCTGTTGAGGGACCCAGGGAGAGGGGGGCCTGCGACCCTCCTTCCATACTTCGGATACGTGGCTAGCATTAGCACTTCCTGTCCCCTGGATTTCATCTGTTCCCGCCTGCCCTGTGGACTGTCTGGGCAGGAGCTTCCTCACTAAAGAAAACAGTGTCTAAACTAACTGTGCCAAAGGTGGGCTTCGGGAGTATGTGAGCTGGTGTTCCGTGAGCTCAGCTCCCAGGAGCCATCTCCATAGACGGGAAGTGCGCCCCCTGGAGGAGTGTCATACGCAGCCGTGGCCAATGGCTCTGGCCTGAGAGCACGTGGAGAGTCAAAGGACTTTTTGGAGCGATGCCCCCTCTTTCTGATGATGTTCTGAGTTGACACAGTCTGGACCTGCTCATTACACCCACACCAAGTGTTCGGAGGCGAGTTTCCATTCATTCGTTCACTCACACCCAGCCTGCCTGCAGAGCACCCCATGAACCCCACATTGTCCAGATTAAAAAATTGGACTCATGGAAGTGTTGTGATTGGCTCAGGACCACACAGTAGGGGGAGGCCTGGGTCTTCTGACTAGACTATCCCTGGTGCCGCTGGGCAGTGGTGCTGAAAAGGGGGCAGCGAGGTGGTGACAATACCCTTCTCGCCCAACAGGGGGCAGCAGATGACCGTCTGCCTTGTTGGCTGCCTGGGCCTGTGTCCCAGCCTGGGCTCATCATCTTGGTTGGTTCTCTGCCCAAGCAGGAAGGCCAAGGGCGGTGAGGACAGAGGTCCCTTTCTTGTTGAGGGAGCTACCTGTGGGAGAGACAGAGACCTTTATGGGGCACCGTGAATAGGGCACCTCAAGAGAGGGTCTGGGGAGCCGGGCTCTGCCCCAAGCACTGTGCAAAGCTTGTGGATAATCAGTCCTATTCGAGGGATTCTGACTGGGCGGGTGCTCCCCATTCCCCGGGGGGGTTGGGCACTGCCAGGGGACGGTGCCCGCGCTGGCTCTCAGAGAGGCTGGAAGGGCTGGGGTTCAGGCTCTCACCCCGCGGTGCAATTTCTCGGGGCTGCCGTGAGACTGCTTCTGTCTCAGCCGAGGCCAGCGGGGTCCTTCCTGAGCACCAAGGTGCCACACCCGTTTCCCCGGAGGAAGGACGCAGGACAGGAGCGTGGAGCTCACCGGGTACTTGGCCTAACTTTACTGCTGCCTGGTCCCGGTGCCCTCAGAGGCCAGCTCCTCCCCCACCCTGTCCGCGGGCCAGCTTCCTCTTCAGTTTGGGAAGGAGCGGTCTGATGCTCCGCAGAGGCCAGTTCTCAGAACAGAGGGCCCAGGGGACCCCTCTGCGTTTGAAATGAAGTGGCGGTGTCTCCGGCTCTGGCTCCTGTACCACAGGAGGAGGGGAACTGGGCCCTGTGGGCGACTGCTCGGTCCTGCCCCCGCTAACCCGGGTACAGGGTTCAACCACAAGGGTCTATGGCCGGTGGCCCCTCTGAGATTGGTTACCCCATACCTGTACCCCACGACTGAGCCCCGCTCAGACAGGGGCGCAGACTTGTGGGGGGGGGTGGCCCAGTCCATGGGTGGTGAGAACCCAGGGCTCCTGAGAGCTGAGCCAGAATCCACATAATTTCACTGCCAGATGGGCTTTCTGTCCCCGAAGCCCTCCCACTGTCACACAAGGCCAGCTGCAGAGAACACTGCCCGCCCCCCGGGGCGTGGCCCAGGAAAGAGTTCAGGGCAGGGTCAGTGGTCCAGGCAGCCTGTGTGGGGGCGGGGGCGACCCAGGGCCGGGGCTGGCCCAGCTCCTTCCCTCTCCCCCAATTCCTTATCTCACATATTCCAGCCCGGACGCCAGGATTTGCCCTCTGGGCAGCCGCGAGTGGCCAGAGTTGGCCTCTGGGTCAGAAAGCAGGGGAATCCCTGCCTTTGTGCGGGGTCGGAAGGGGGGGCTTCCTGCCGGTCCCCAGGCCAGGGCGGAGGACGGGAACGCAGCTCTGGGTGCGTCCCCGGCGTGTGCTCCGCGGTCCTTCCCGCAGGGCCGCGCGGAGGCGCCCTGCGCGACAGGGTCCACCTCCTGAGGCTCAGGAGCGGAACGCAGCTGAAAGCAAGGACAGCGACTGGCCATCAGTACAGAGGCGAGGTCGCTTGTCCCGGGCGCAGAGCTCCCTAAAGCCCGGGTGCCGCTCGCTCTCAGTCGGCGGGCCCTGGGCTCCCGCCCTCTGCAACTTTCCGCAGGCAGCAGCGGGGCAGGAAGTGGAGTGGGGGCGGGGGCGGTGCTTGGACTTCGGGGAGGCGCTAGGCGGGCGCCCCGCCCCCGCCCCGCCCCACTCCGCTTGTGGCCGCGCCCCCCGCACCCCCGCGCCCCCCGCGCCGGGGAGCCTCTGAGCCGGAGTCGGAGCGCGGGTCGCGGAGCGCGGAGCGCGGAGCGCGGAGCCCGCAGGCGGGGCGAACAAAGCGGCGGCGGCGAGGGCGGCCCAGGCCCGGGACGCGCGGAGGGAGCGACCCGCCGGGCCTTTGTCTGGGGCGGGGCAGGGACGGCGGCGGCCACGGGGCGCCCAGAGCGCAGAATGCGGCGCCCGGCGGGGCTGGTCGCGGAGCGCTGCGGCGGCGGACGGCGTGGAGCCCGGCCCGGGGCCCGCGGGGACTTGTGCGTGTGAACAGAGGACCCAGCGCGCTGCCCGGCGCCTACCCCGCGGCCGCACGTGGGCGGGAGCGGCGGCCCGCGAGGAGCCGGAGGAGGAAGAGGAGGGGACGCGCGGCGGCGCGGCGGGGACCGGGGGCTGCCCGCTCGAAGCCCCGCCCCGGCCGCCGAGCCCGGCGCGGCCGGGCGGGATGCCCCGCGGCCGCCGCACTTCGGCCCGAGCGCGGCGCTGAGCGGCCGGCCCAGCGGGCGCCATGGAGCAGTGGCGACAGTGCGGCCGCTGGCTCATCGACTGCAAGGTCCTGCCGCCCAACCACCGGGTCGTGTGGCCCTCGGCCGTGGTCTTCGACCTGGCGCAGGCGCTGCGCGACGGCGTGCTCCTGTGCCAGCTGCTGCACAACCTCTCCCCCGGCTCCATCGACCTGAAGGACATCAACTTCCGGCCGCAGATGTCCCAGGTGAGGACCGGGCGCGCGGACGCGGACCCCGAGGTCGCAGCCGCGGGCGGTCCCAGGACCGCGGCAGGCACGGCGGGGCTGGGGCATCGGCGCGGGGAGCGAAGAGAGGGGCGCGCCCCGGGCCTCGGAGCCGGCCCCTCAGAGGGGTGACCCCGGGAGGCGCGAAGTTGACCGAAGTGCCCCAAGCTGAGGGCGCGCCTCTGCCGCCCATGGGCACTGCCAGGGGTGCGGGGAGACCCCAACCCGGGCGGGGCGCCCACCACTGCCGCCCGAACCCCCGGGCCACGGGGTCCTGCGAGTGTCCTGTCCGACCCGGGGGAGCCCGCGGCGCCTCGGGCCTCGTCAGGCGTCGCGCGGTCCGGCTCCGCGCGTGTGCTGGACGCCGTGGAAGACGAGCAGGCGCAGCGGGGCTCGGGCGCGGCCTGAGGGACCGGCGGGGCGGGGAGCGGGAGCCCGCTGGGCGGAGGGAGCGGGTGGGCCGAGGGTGCCGCCCCCTTGCCGGCCTCTGCCTCCTCCTGGGCGGGCATCGGGCCCCCTGCAACTTGGTGTGCAGGGAGCCTCCCATCGCTTCCCCAGCTGGAGCCATCGGTGGGCATCCTCGAGTGTGCCCTTTGTGGCGCCCAAGGCCCGCGTGGCCGCTGGCCGGCAGGAAAATGTCTGCTCCTGGCAGGACCGGCCTTTCTTGGCCCTTTAAAGGGAACTTGGCTAAGACAGGCCGAATCAAGGCTTTTGTCCTGCCTTTCCTGGGGTCGTGGAGGCCCCCCCCCCCCATGCTTTGAAGGGTCCCCAGGGGACCAGGGTGCCAGCCTGGGTCTGGCCACCACTGCCCAGGAGGGACCTTCCTGTTGGCCCTGTGGCCCCTTCCTTCATGGCCCGGGGCAAATCCGTGTAGACAAGGGCCATTCACAAGTGCGACATTGGGAAAAGGGGCTGGAGTGAGTCACTGCTTGCGGCTGGGCTTCGTGGCCTCTGCCCTTTGGCTGCGACCGAGTTTCCAAGGAGATGGGGGTATTCCTTGCTCCTGGGAGGAGGGGAGTGTGGCCTCTGACAAAGAGCCCTGAGGGGGCAGGGGGCCGCCCTCTTACTCAGTAATAATAGCCCAGGACCCAGGAGGTGGATAGCCCAGTGAGGGGGCCCTGGCGGTGCCCTGCCCTCCGTCTGGTCTCCAGGTCTCCCCTGAAGCCAGATCCTTAGGTGCTCACAGTGCTAAGTAGCCCGAGGTCTGGGGGCCAGGGCCCTGCCACAGTGTGTCACAGATCCTGTCCTCTCCTCTGTCCCCAGCCTGCAGGGGCTTCCAGGCTTGCTGGCTCCTGGCAGCTTTCCACTTCATTGGCCCTGTGACCAGGGCACAGGGCACAGCTGGAGGTGGGTGGATCTGTATAACAGAGCCTGGGTCTGGTGGGCCTCTGGGTCCTGGAGCTGCCCCTCCCCAGCTGTGGTTCAGGGAGGATGGGGTCAGAGGGGCATTGACTGTGGCAGGTGGCTTGGCGCAGCCCCTGTGCAGAGATTTCTGGGGTCTCTGGAGCCATCGGTGGGCGGCAGCTCTGACACCAGCAGCCCCTTGGGGAGCCCCTGCCCCACCCTGGTGAATGGCGTTAAGGGGGCTGGCTGGTAGGAGAACCAGGTGGGTGAGTGTCTGCGTGTCTTCATGGCCACATGCTCTGATTGAAAACGGGCATTGTCACCTCCCAGCTGGGTGACGACCTTTGGGGCCTCAGTTACCCCATCTGTATAATGGGGCAGTGATGGTAGCCACATTGTGAGGATCCACTGAAGGAGGACAGGGAATGTCTTTGGCATAGTGTTGATGGGTGGTAGCAATTTTCGGACAGTCCTCTGGACACGGGTAGGTATGGTCCTAGTAGGAGGATGAGGGCGGGTCTGTGTCCTCTCATGGAGGGTGGGGCTGGTCACACCGACCTCTGTGTGGCTGTTTATTGCAGGGATGGCAGCAGCTGCTAGGTGAACCTGCGTCATTGGTTTGGGACTTAGACATGGCTCTCGTGGGGTAGTCACAATGAACGAAACCACTGTCTTGACCGTGATGGCTGTGCAGGGCCTGGGAGGGGGGGACTTGGCCGCCTCTCTGTGCGGCTGCTCTTTGTCATCTGGGAAATTTGCAGCCGTGGGGGAGAGAAGATGTCTTCTCAGTCCATGGTGGTTGGATCACAAGAAGAACCTCATCTGCTCTTTCTTTTTTTTTTCATCTTCACCTGAGGACATTTTTCTGTTTATCATCAGATAGAGTGGGAGGAAGGGAGAGGGGAGAGAGAGAAACATCGATGTGAGAGGGACACATTGACTGGCTGCCTCCTGTAGGACCTGACCAGGGCTGGGATGAACCGCAACTGCAACCGAGCTACGTGCCCTTGACCGGAATCTAACCTGCGACTCCTTGGTCTGCGGGTCAACACTCTAACCGCTGAGCCAAACCGGCCAGGGCTCATCTACCCTTTCTTACTGGTCCTGCCCCGGGCTAGGCAGGATTCTGGAGGGGTGTGCCATCCTGATTTCACAGATGAGGCAACTAAAGTTCAGAGAGGTCGAGTAACTTTGCCCCAGGCCACACCAATCGTAAGTGGCAGAACAAACTTCCACCCAGGACTGTTTAAACAAATGACGGTTTCAGGACCTCCCTCAGCTGTCTTGCTGACTTTCTGGTGGACTCCTGACCTGTTTCTCGGGTTGTTCATGGCGTGTGTCTGTTTCTGCAGGATGGATGGGTGGCCAGCGCGTGCCTGTTTCCTGTGGGGACCTGGATGCTGTGTCCTGGCAAGTCGGCATCTAGCCCTGCCCAAAAGCCTCCATGGTGTCCCTTCTTTTCCGAATGCCACTCACACTTCTCTTGGTGACATCAATTTTCAGAGGGAGGCGTGTGGAGCACCCCTCCCCTTTGAGTTGATCTCAGCTGGATTATTGGCCCTAAAGGAGCTTAATAGCAGTGTGCAGTTACTGAGCACCTGCTGTGTGCAGAGCCAGGTGCTGGGAGGTCTTCACAGAGATCAGGTTGAGCCCCTGTTGTGCCCTCCTGGAGCTGGCAGGGTATGCTTTATTTTTTTATTCAGAATGCCCGGCAGCCACCTTGGGTTTAATTAAACTAATTAGGTGTGGCCACAATCTGCTGATCCTAGGAGGAGCTCGCATGTGGCTGGAGCAGCTTCGGTTGTGTGGTCCGTGGTTGCTGATGCCAGCAGACCGCGTTGGGTGTGCAGTCCGAACCTTCAGGGCACCAGCCACCCAGCCCCGTGCCCACGCCGCCCTGGCAGGCGTCCTCCTTGAAGAATAGATGGGCAGCTGGGCTGCAGGGACATGACGCAGACAGGGCTCGGGACCCAGGCCCACCAGGGTCCCCCCCCCCCACGCCTCCAGCACAGCGCCTTCCGGTCCCTGTCTCATGCTCCGGCCGGCCCCCCTTGCCCATGCCTTTTCTGTCAGCGTCCGGCATGTGCCCTTGCTGGAAGACCTCCCCTCCTCTGAGCCTGTTCGTCCTGTAGGAGCTTGTCCAGAGGCCCCCTCCTCCGGGAAGTCTCCTCTGATTTCACTCTTCCATCCTGCAGGGTGGCAAGCCTTGCCTTGGCCCTGGTGTACTTGCGTGTACCTCTAACCCTGTACTTCCCCCACTTTGGTCAAGATCCTCACCACTTGGGAGCCATATTCTTGCTGGATAGATTTCGAGTGAGGGATGACAGCACCCGTGGGTGGTCATCTGTGCCCTCCGGACTGAGTCTTCATCTCGGTCCCGCAGGGCCTGGCATCCCTTGGTCCCTTCGCTCGTTGATTGCTCTGTTCCTTCTCTGGAGAGGTAACTGCTGAGCCCTGTGCTGCTTGGCGAGGGGGCCGGGGCAGGCCGGGCACGGAAGCTTCCGGGTGAGCAGGGGCCCACGGTGGGGTGGACGCGATGCCTGTTGGCTGAGAAGGCGGCCTTCGGGTGTCCAGAGGGTTCCCAGGTGCGAGCGGGGGCTCCTCGTGTCCGAGCCAAGGTTTGTGACTCCAGAGCGGCTGGGAGCAGAGGCAGGAGGGTTGGTTCCAGTGGGAAAGAGGAAGCTTTTCTTTTCTGTTGGGCAGATTAGAGCAAGAATTCTTTTTTCTTTGTTGATTTTAGAGAGAGGAAGGGAGAAGGGGAGGGAGATGGAAACATCGATGAGAGAGAACATTGACTGGCCGCCTCCTGCACGCCCCCCACTGGGGATTGGCCTGCAACCTGGGCATGTGCCCTGACCGGGAATTGAACCGGCGACCTCTTGGTGTAGGGTCGACGCTTGGTCACTGAGCCACACCTGCTGGGCTGACCTTGACACTTTGAAGATTGCAGAATGTCCCTCCACTTGGGGTTTTGCGCCTGATGTGTTGGAGCAGCCGCGATGCTGTGCTCTCCCGGCATCCTGTCCGCAGGTGACGCGTGGTTTAGATTTGTCCCGCCTCTGGGGTTGTGGACTGCATGCACTTGACTGAGGTGTGTTTGCTGGACGTCTCCACTGTGAAGTTCCTCTGTCCCCTCTTGTAGATCCCAGATGTTCTCTAGAAGCGTCTTCGAGACAGTGTAAATATCTAGTCCTCTCCCCCCAGATTCGGATTGGGGTTGCCTCTTTTGTTCTGTGGATTGTCGCATCTGTGACTGTCATCATTCGTTGTGATTCTAAGATGAGTCAGGTTTGACCCGTGGGCACCGCTTCAGGCCGGTTGTGTGTCTCGGATGCGATCCCATCGTTTCTGAGTGTTGTCTTCCTTTCCGGCAGGACAGGGGAGCTCCAGGCTCCCCTTCTGTCTGTCTTTGCCCTGGGTCTGGAGTCAGCCCTTCCTGCGAGGAACTCTGCTTTCATAGTGGACGGGGGCACTTAGAAGCCAAGATCTGGGCGCAGGTGTGCCCACTGCCGCTGGGTGTCCCTGCTTCCGGGTGTCTGGTCAGACCGGGTTTGTGTATGTGTGTCTGTGAGTACACACCAGTGTCTCTGCGTGTCTGCAGACATGTATATGCCCACACACAGTTGTATTTGTATTGG